CCAAGAGACACGTCAACACGGGCCAGAGGCACATGTGGATGCGCCTGGGTGGGGCAGACATCTGCTTGAAGGATGAAGCCAGACACAGAAGCATCAGAGGCAGTCAACCGGAAATTAGTCGATGCATGCGTCCGAAGAAGTTAAGTGAGCACATCAACTCGCCAGGTAAGCCTCGCAGTATGGCATGCCTGTGACATCGTCATTGGTGGATGGAGGAATGGGCAATCAGTGAGGCAAGTGAGCAGAGTGAAATCGGGGTGCATCAGTCATTTTTGCCAGGACGAGGCGTCATCACACAAACTGTATTTCTTCTTCCCTTCTTCAATATTATGGCAAGGTTTGGTCAAGAGGCCAGTTGTTCTTCTCCACTTATTACACACTACTCGCCGGCATTCTGCCAGTCTCAGGCGGTAAATAAGCAAAGGTATCAGCATTTAGTCAACAAATCAACTCTGATCGCTATTCTGGCCAACTTTAATGCAACAAAAGTGCTCAAATGTGCCAAGCTCAACAGGTTCGATTTACTCGTTTAAAGTGATGGTCTTCCAATGATGGCTTTCTAATCAAAAGTGAATCCCAGTTTCGACATATGAGTTGCTTTCACCCTAGGTCAAGTAGGTTCATAAAGGATTTATAATGCATTTTCTAGCGAAATCTACTTAATTAGAATATAAGTAATATCATCGATTATAATAGCAAATATAAATTTGCTTACGAAGAATAGCTGGGTTTAGTTAAATCTTTACAAAAAACATTTTTGGGGAGAATCTCAGTTCATATAAAAGTGCATGAAGAAGAGAGTATGAAGTTGATCTCATAAAAAGACGACGGCTGATTCACATTATACTTCAGCCGTTGACATTAATATGACGTTCGGATCGATGAAGTTCACGAGAAATCCTCCCTCGTTTCGAGAGAAAACGTGCTGAGCTTTCGTCCATCATATGATGAACATCATCAAAGTTGGAAGTTTTTTTTTATGTCTCAAGTTAACACTAGATCGCAAAGACTGCCCGGCTCTATCATACCTCTTATATATAGTCATAAGTAAAAAACGAAATCGTATAGGCATAGATGGATGTAAAATAATTTGGATAATTATTTTTCATATTAGTAATGCTATTTTTACTCGAGTGTGTGCGTATGTCAAT